TCTACTGATAGGGTGCTAATTTGCAAAGACATAAATGCTACTTTTCCCCTCTGTGTGTGTGTGCTGCAGGAAAATGGACTAAATATGCTTGTTGTTAGACAGAACATTTCCCTGAGGAAGAAGCTGAGGCAGAAGGTGAGCTCTCTTGGGAGCACACCTTTTTTGGGGGGGGAGGTATATTTTTCTAGGCAGACCTTTGCTCTCCCTGACCACATGGTCTAACTGGATGGGGGTTTGGCTTTAAATGAGTGTGAGCTATAGGATTAAGCCTTTTCCCTGAGGAGGAAGCTGAGGCAGAAAGTGAGCTCTCTTGGGAGCATATCTTTGGGGGGATGGTATATTTTTCTGGGCAGACCTTTGCTCTCCCTGACCACATGGTCTAAGCGGGCGGGGGTTAAGATAAGTTTATTTACGGTCCTTAGACCAGTCACATAAGTATAAAACCTTATAAAACATTAGAATTTTTAACTTTCAGCAACGGGGATTTGGCTTTAAATGAGTGCGAGCAGAAGCACAAAATGAAATTCTCTGATTCTATTTTTTTTACTCTAATCTAGTAAATAGGAAAGGCAAATAGCATTACATACACCTGGGGTCAGGAAAGTTTTAGGGGTCAGATCATACTTCCACATTCTTAGGGAGCAGGACAGGTAGGTGGGGCTCATCAGCCTTGGAAGGCAGCCCATCTAGGAGAAGGAAAACTGATTTCAAACCTCCACTGCCTTGTGACTATATCCACTGATGGAAAAGGCTTTAGGAGTTAACCTCGAGGCAAAATCTGGAGCCGGAGTCCCGGAGGCAGTTAGTGTCATTCTGGCAACTCCTGCAACATGGCTGGAACCAATTGTATTGGCTCTTGCCTTTCCATTGGACTATTTTAGTGATGTAAAGAGGGGGAATTTGCTGCTTGGGTAAGAGCCTATCTTCCATATTATTTTACCCAGGCTTCATGCTCTGGAGAGGACACTCCAGCTTCACATACAGCATCAAATCAACACGGAAAGGGATTGCCACTCTCAAATTGGCCTTCTCAGCCACACTAGATGCTGTTCCAAGTCCTCCATACAGAGCACATTTCCATAGTCTCTCGAGACTGAAGGATGCCTATCAACAGTGCTAACAAACATGAAACTATACTCTAGATTCTCCATACTCTGCAAAAGGCTAATAGGTCTTGTTTTACCTAAAACCTTTTTCTGTGTCTTGCAATAAAATATATACAAAGGCTCTGTCCTGCTCACTGTGATATTTTAAAACATAAGTCTTTCTAAGGGTTGACTATCTACAAGGGAACAAACCAAAGTTACATTTCCCCTTTATTTTAAGGAACAAGCCCCAATAGTTACATGCTTTTTTCTAATTCTGAACACAACATAACAAGGTCTTTAAAATAGATAAGCTCGTACCTGTTTGGCCAGAATTTGAAGACTTATGGATCTGGGCTTTGGAGACCATTTTCTATAAGAGAGCAGAGAGAGAAGTAGCTATCATGCCTATAACAGACAACCCAAGCATTAAAAAGTAAGGTTGGTAGGGTCCTAAAGGACAGTCCCTACCTCTGATCAAGGCATGATTACAAGCAAAGGAATACAAGCTATACTACACTGAAATAAAATCTTACATTTGAAGCAGATAGTAAGATACATATGTGATATTTTTCAGCTGTCAGGAAATACTTCTCAGCAACAGATTGATGGTAGAAGAGGGAACGAGTGGTGATCTTCTAGAGAAGACCCCACTTTTTTTATACAGTTTTCCATGGGAAGCAAAATAATGCCAAAATATTTTTCCTTTGTATAATTGTGTTTTGCACCTACAATTTTCCTTGGGAATCAAAATAATGCCAATAATTGTGTTTTCCTTGGGAAGCAAAAGGCCTCCTCAGGTGTTTAAACCTTTCCCCCCCCAATCTTTTTGCATAATTGTATTGTCTTTTCTCACCCACAATACAACAAACTCTGCTGAAGCCTGCTTAAGGGGGGGATACAGAGGTCTTTTATAAATATAGGTCCTCTGAAAACCAATAAATTTACCCAAAAGCAGGACTTCTAAGAATATTTCTGAATAACAACTGCTTCGGGTGTGTGTTAATAATCTTTAATGGCTACAATAGGGCTTTTTCTGAGGCTGTTATATTCTAAGCAGGAAAAAGCTTTTGGGAACTGCTGCGTTCCAGCCTCTTTGCATAATTGTGTTTTCCCTGGGAATCAAATAATGCCAATAATTGTGTTTTCCCTGGGAAGCAAAAGGCCTCCTCAGGTGTGTAAACATTTTTCCCAATCCCTTTGTAAAATTGTGTTGTCTCTTCTCACTCACACACAAATAAAACACATTCTTGCTGTGCCTACGGGTGATCTGTCCAGTGGGACTAAACCATCATAGCCGGATCACTTTTGGGGTAAATTTCCCAAAAGCAGGACATCTAAGAATATTTCTGAATAACAACTGAGGGGTGTGTGTTAATAATCTTTAATGGCTACAATAGGGCTTTTTCTGAGGCTTTTATATTTTAAGCAGGAAAAGCTTTTGGGAACTGCCAAAGCCTGCTTAAGGAGGGATACAGGGGACTTTTATAAATACAGGCCCAGACTGTATGTAGCAGCAGTGTGGAACCAGATATAATGAAATATAAATTGTTGCCTTTTAAAAGTATTATTTTTATTCAGATTTTACGAGCTTGACAGAGAAAAGTTTTATAGTGATAACCTTTAAGCCCGGTTAACACAGTCTCTAGAAAACTCTGATCTGATTTTCTCAGTAACTTTTTTTAAAAAAATAATAGGTATTACTAAAATTTGTTACATTTTTAAAAGCTCAGATATAATCCACAGTTCTAGTGATGCAGACAGCATGATGCTGATAAGCAACCACTGTAAGAACATAAGAAGCAGTCTTACAACAGATTTTTCCACATAACATCCGGAGCATCCTGTGTGCACCCCAGGACAGACAGACGTGTACCTCTTCACCAGTCATTTCCAGGTGCATTCCCTCACACACTGCTTTCATATAGCCAATCAGGCAGTGTTTCGGAATTCCATAAAGGCTTGCCCTTACAATGGATCTCATGGCCTTTCCTTTTGTCAGGGGTGTTCCGCTTACTTGTAAATGGGATGGTTCCTGAAAAATCAAAGAGGGGTTTTAACAAACACATACACAGAGTAATCATATATAACAACTCTCTGGTGCCACCCTTCCACAAATGATTACATACCAGTGTTTCAGAATATTTCTCTATATTAAAGGGAGCTTCCATGTTATGCCATCTTTCAGGTTCCTCCAGGTGTTGTAGAGATGCAGCATGCATATTCTCATTCTCAGAATCTGTACTTGTGTACCACTTTCTGGGGTTGGCTGGGGTTTTGGTGTCCATGTCCTTTTGGCTTTCCGTTTTTGGGGGCCCCTGGGTACCAGGGAACTGGTTTTCCTTGTCCTCCATCTTCTCCAAGCCACACTGGTCTCTGCAAAGAGTGGCAAGCATGTGCAGAAGGCCCCCAAAGCCACCGCTGTGGGGTTTCAGCCCCAGGCAGCCTAAGGGCATGCCAAGACATGCCCTACGGCCACCCCCTTTTCTAGCAAAACCCTCCAACCTTGCCCCATTGACTCACAGGACCACGGGGGTAACTCGTTGCTTTGGGAACCAATCCTGAGGCCATGCTCTGGTCATGGGGTACCCTGGTGTCTATGAACCCCTCCTATAGGCCTATGGTGGCCTCAACAACCCCATACATCACCCTAAAGCCCCACCCACCCAGGAGGAGGGCCCTGGGTCGATTCTTGACCCTTTGTCGCACCTCACAGGGGTGGCACACCTGTCAAAAGTGATTTTGATGAATGATAGGTGGTATTATTACTGGAGTGTGCCAAAACTGTGAAGAAAAGAAACAGATTAATTACCTGTAACTGTAATTTCCAAGGGCCCTGTATGGCTGACTACTCAAAAGACTTCAATAACAGTTCAGTAAAATGTTTTTGTGGTCATTCCAATAGCACATGTGTAAAAATTGTGCTATTGGAGTAATCCACCTAAGCATGGTGGCTGTGTAGAACTCAAGAGTAATCCACCTAAGCATGGTGGCTGTGTATTCAGAATTGGAGTAGGACAGACTCAGTGAAGTCGTGCTTCTCACTCCCTTACTGGTCTTCAGCTGTGGACACTATTAAATTGTATGGCAGTTTGCTAGCAGTGCATTGGCTTGTTTAAATGTTTAGGAAGCATGTGTGGGTCTCCTCTTAAACATAATGTTTGCCATGCAAAATACATAGAAACCTTTATGCATGCCATGGACAACCACTGGGGTAGATCTAGCTTGTTGCTTTTTTAAAAATTTGTTTTACTGAGCTAATCAGCAAGTTACAAACATAACAGGAACCTTGTATTTAATTATCTTTATTTGCAGTCTACAAAAAGCTATATAAATCACCAAGTGAACAAAATGAGAATATCTCCTTTGATTTGCTGACTGATAATATACTGTTATTTCATATTGGTGTATTTAATAGTCTTATTTCAGTGTTTTGGTTTTAATCTTCCATTTGGTAATTCTTTTTCGATGTCTTCTGAGGGGCAGATTATAAATGAAATAAAAAATATTATGGCTTTACTTCATGTTCAACAGATTTTAACAATCCAATTAATGTAGTACCCTGTTTCCCTGAAAATAAGCCCTAGTATGATTTTTCAGGATGCTCGTAATAGAAGCCCTACCCCCCAAAATAAGTCCCAGTTAAGTGAACCCCCGCCCTCCACCATTGTGCCACATTGTGCAGCAACTGTAAAATAAAGGATCCCCTGAAAATAAGCCCTATTGCATTTTTGGAGCAAAAATTAATATAAGACCCTGTCTTATTTTCAGGGAAACATGGTACTAATCTTAAGTGACCCAGGGTGAACAAGCCTTTTAATAGGGCAATGAATTCTCCATTAATTTTTGTCATGTCAAACTGAACTCCCTGAAGTTTAAAAAAGTTTTTTTTACCAAAAAATTTCTGTGTTTCAGGTTGCAACAGCAAATCTTGCATGGGCCTCAGTAGCAATACATCAAGTAGAGGTAAATCTCTGGATTAAATGCTGGGCGGGGGGATATGTAAGAAAAGCAATAAAATAACCTTTGCATATGTAAAACATTATCAGGCAGCACTGTAATATCTAAATTATGTAAAAAGTTGGACAGTATGACCAAAACATGTTTCGTTAACTCTGTTTTAAGAAAGTTGTTTGATAATTCCTTTTTGATCCTGGTCCAAATCCAGCTCCATCACATTTCTAAATGTGTTTTCCTTCCTTCCTTTTACTGTGCCCCATAGTGCAATGCATACTCTGGGCAGTTTACAGCAAACCAATCAAAGAAAGAATAAATACAAACCACTAAATTAGTTTAACTATCTTTAGAACAACATTGGACATTGCAGATAATGTCAGAAATAAAAGGCAGCTTTAAACAATTCTTCTTTTTACTAACTTCATCAAAACTACAAAGGAAGGCACCTGGTGAAGCTGTGCTGCAAGTTTATTTCAGAGGTGCGTGTGTGTGTCACAGAATGGACAGGGGTTGCAAAATGCTGCATTATGTATGGCGTTGTGCAGAGACTTCTTGTAGCCATGGATATAGCCATGGCATGCTCCAATTCCCATAGTTCCTCAAGGTGCTCTGTGGCTACTCTCTGCTTTTGTTTCCTTTGAAGTCAAGAACTCAAGAAAAATGAGGTCACTTTCCCCCAGAGTTCCTTACTGTCTCTTCTTCCCTGAAGTCATCTCTGTTGCTTAGAATCAAGTCAAGGACAACCTCTCCTCTAGTTTCTTCCTCCACTTTTTGTAGGAGAAAATTTTCAGCCATACAAGTCAGGAATTTATTGAAAGGGCCATATTTGGCAAATGTTGTTTCCCAGCAGATGCTAGGATAATTGAAATCTCCCATTACTACTACATCATTTCTCTTTGAAATTCTTGCAGTTTGTTTTTTAAATGTTTCATCCACATCTTCTCCTTGATTGGGCAGTTGGTAGTAGTCTCCAACTGCAACACTTCTTTTATTTTTCACCCAGATTATATTCTTCCGGATGCCCATGATGGGACAATCAAACTCATTCTCCTGTATTTCTGTGCAGACACATGTATTTTTGATATATACTGTAACTCCTCTTTCTCTTCTTTTTGCCCTTTTTGAACAATTTATGACCCTCAGTTCCTGTATTCTAGTCATAGAAGTCAGCCCACCAAGATATCTTTATCAAGCCATATTTACCCTCCTAAACTAAGATTTCCAATTCTTCTTGTTTGCCTCCATGCTCCTAGCATTCGTATATAGACACCAGAATTCGTGCCACTATTTTTAATGTTGCTTCCTTCACTACATGTTTCCCTGAAAATAAGACAGAGTATTATGTTAATTTTTGCTTTAAAAAAACGCATTAGGGCTTATTTTCAGGGGATGTTTTATTTTTTTCATGAAGGACAATCCACCACCTTTTTCTGGGTATAAGATGTTACTTTCTCCTAAAATCATTACACTAAAAATTGATGGGCATCTTATACACTGAAGTAAGCTGAGAACATGGAGAGAACAAAACTGCCTGTACCTTGCCTCTGTAAACAGGCTTCCTTCAATCATGAGGCTTCGCTTCCTACAGTCAGGAGACTTAGCTTCCCCGCATCATGAGCCTTATGGAACTGATATCAGCTGATGCTGAACAAACTGATTGGAACACACCTTGTTGGAGGTGGAGCCTGTAGGCTCAGATGCAACAGGGACTCCTAATGTCCGAGCGTTCTGACCCCAGAGGCTGAATACTTAAAGCTAAGCTTTCTTAATTTGGGGGTTAGAAAAGTGGTAAGGGAGCCTTATCAATGGAAAAATACAGTACATTTATTCAAATACAGTAATGTCATCTTCTTGTTGCTGCACAATGGTAGAGGGTGGGGTTTCACTTAACTGGGGCTTTGGGGCAGGACTTATATTACAAGCATCCTGAAAAATCATACTAGGGCTTATTTTCAGGTTAGGTCTTATTTTTGGGAAAACAGGATATATTTGTTCTCTCCTCAGCATTCTGCTCCTCTGCTTTGTCTTGCTGTTCTTACAATTTCAGTCCCTTCCTTGACTGCTGCTGCTCAAGAGTTCTGTCCGTGTACTCTTCATCTTCTCTTATAGTTCCCAAGTGTGGTCCCTTGCTGCTCCAGTTCTTTCACTTTTTCTTCCAACAGTGTAACCAGTTTGCACTTGCTGTATATGTACGTTGTACTGTTCTCAGACATGAAGATAAACATTGCAAGTCACTACCACTGCAATGGTCCAGGCCCTGTCAAGGAGACCCAGTGGAGAAGTGAACTCCCAACCTCTGACTTTACAGCCAGAGATCTAAACCACCAAACTATCTAACAGTTCATTCCTGTTATCTTTTTTCTTCCTCCCTCCCTTCTTGTTAAAGAGAAAATGCCGAAGTGTGTAGCTATTATTTCTCACATTGAACTGGTAGAAGATAATGTAACTTGCCCACCTTGATCATAGCTTGCCTTATAGACTGTTTTTGTAAGATGAGAGAATTGTGGGGGAAAGGCAGCCATTGGTGAACAGAGTTGAACACTTCCATTTTGTGAGCTGTGACCTGGTTGTCCTAGGTTTTTCCATTCACAGTTTTAAATTTAAAGGAGGAAGCAAGTAGTGAAGTCTTCAAGATGACTGAATAAAATTTGTCATTTTTTACAATATAAAATAATAGGGTAATCATCAGTTAGCACATCTGTACCTCAAACTGAAGTATGCTGTGTGTCATAGTTGCTTTTATTTGTATTTACTGTATAGGCATTATATTTTAATTTATTCCTCCCTACTAAACAGTCTGGACAAGTAATATGTATATATGTTCCACAAATTCATTCCGATTCTAATCTTCTGCTTAAGTAAGCAATAGTTTTTCCAATGTTCCAATCAGGTATCCAGGGGCCTTGCCAAACAGACTGAATTGAATGACTTCCTTCTTGATGTGTCAAAGTAAGTTTTAAAATGAGATGGAATCTGAGTGTGTTATTAAGTGCATTTTTCTAGGTAACGGATACATTTTTATTCCTCACTGTTTTGTCATTTCTTTGGGAATTTTTTGTGGTTATCCAATTTTTGTTTCTGATTCAAACAGGTAATACTAACTATAGCCATAAATTATAAATATGCTAAATAAATTCACAAGATCATTATTTAGTGTAAAGCTGTATTGTGAATTTTTTGAAAGACTCAGAATGATTTGGTTGGATCCAAATTGAGTCTCATTAAAAGGAGACTATTGAAATGAATGGAAGATAATAATGACTAAATAATGAATTTAAATCCCATTGTTTTCCTTTTCTTTAGTTAAATTTCACAAAAGTCTAGGTATAAGTCATTGAGCATATTACTGTCCACTTTTGATGTGCATTGCCAATCAGCATAGAAGGGTTATGTGGCCCGTAATATAATCTTAATTATTTTCCTAGTTTATTTAAATTAGTACTTGTAGTTCCATTAAAGGAACTGTAAAAAATGAAATCGTGGATGAAAATGCTAAGCAAGAAATTTTCTTCAAAATAATTACCTTGGGCCTTGTATTACTCCCATAGAAAGCTAATGTACAGATAGATAGATAGATAGATAGATAGATAGATAGATAGATAGATAGATAGATAGATAGATAGATAGATAGATAGATAGATAGATAGATAGATATAGATATACACATACACACACACACATACATACATACATACATACATGTGTGTGTGTGTGTGTGTGTGTATGTATATATATATATGTATGTATGTCTGTCTGTATGTATGTGTATATATATAGTAGTTTTAGTAGTAGATACAAAATGAAAGATCTTTATACCTAAACTAGAAATTGATCTCATATGTTCTTTATCTTGTGGGTCTGGATATAAGATTTGAAAAGAACCTCTATTTCATATGCAGGATTAAAGGTGGTTCAGTAATGTTTACAGGTGAGAAATGTTCAGTGCTTTACAAGAGGTGGAATTTGGGACTTGAATGAGGGAAGTCTGAGTTCAGTGGCTCAAGCCACTGAGTTACCCTAGGAAAGTCACTATTAGAAATTTTTTAAATTTTTTTAAAAGGTTGATGAATTACAAATTTACAGTTTTTCCTGATGAATTCATCAATTTGTTCTTTACTTTAAACCCCTATAAAATACACCCAAGCACCTGGAGTCAACAAATGGATAAGAAAGCTCCCCCTGGCTCTCTGCTACACGTCCTCAAAGTTTGCTGAAGTTTGGATTTCAGGTGCCCAGGTAATACACCCACAAGGAGAGCCTACCCCCAGAAAGTCCCCCCAGGCACCCAGAGACACCAAAATCACAGAAAGCTTCCTCTGACTCTCCTCTACAATCCCACAAAGTTTGTTTAAGATTGGTTTCACAAAGCGAGCTGCTAAATGGCACTTGTCTGGTGGGACCCACTTTGTGGATGTATAATTTGGATATCTGAGACTGAATCTTCACCAAACCTGTAGGAGAGTCAGAGGAAGCTTCCATGCAATGTTGGTGTCTCTGAGGGCTGTTTTATAGCTAAATAAACCAAATCTAAAAGTGTTAAAAATCCATTGATTCATATTCATTGGGGGCATTGATCTCTACCAATACAAATTGATACAATAGTGGGTTTTTTTGAACAAATTTAGTATTTTTTTCAGTTCGTGCCCATCTCTAGTCATTATCTTTCAGTGTGTTGGACAAATATCTCAGGGTGTGTGCCCTTGTGAAATTTACCATGCTGTAGACTGGGTGTTTGTCAGTGCTCCTCTTTGGTAAGGAGAAGCCAGATTCGTTATTCCCACTGCCAGAGCAGGTGATCTGCACTATCAAAGTGGACAACTTTGATTTCTTAGTTCTATTCCAGTTTGCCAAAAGATGATAATCATTGTTTGTATGGACAATTAAAAACCAGCACAAGTTCTTGGCAAGTTATAACATCTAAGGACATTATTTCTTCTTCCCCAGAACATATTTTGATAACATAGTTGCAATAGATTCTCTACTTGAACATATCATGGTAAGACAACTTCTACTGAAATTTCAGAATTACATCACTGTTCCTTTTAAAATACAGCATGCAGCATGTTTGTTTGTTTGTTTGTTTGTTTGCCATCCCTTGCCCCATATCCATGTGTCTTGCAAATAAATAAATATATTGAATTTGCTAATTAAAACAATTAATTGTCCAAATCTTCTGAGAAATGGGATAATAATTTGTGCAGTAACATTGTATGACATAATCGGTTGTGACTGAATGCTTCTTTTGATTCCCATTACATGGTGAGAATTCTGAAAGAATGTAAAACTTAGAATTGATAGGGATCAGACATTGCGAGTAGGAACCAGACACTAAATTTAATTTTAGAGTGCCATAATCAACTATTCAAAGCAATAACAAAAACATGCTTAGTATCTATATAATGCTATATTCACAACAACTTCATATTTCTGTATTATAATTAGGGTGTGTAGTGTTGATAGACAATGCCTTTCTTTAATAAAGTAGTTAAGAGTCTTATACGAGGGGGTGCTGATAAGTATTGAGTCTTTCCCAGAAAAAAATTGAGCTAAGAAGTTGTAACTGACACACTATTCTACATATTTCTCCTGGAAGTCAATGCACTTGCAACATCTGTCCTGCAAATAAAATTCTTCCAACTGCTGGTGTAACCACTCATTTGCGGCATTAGTTGCCTCCAGAACACTCCCAAATCGTTGTTCCTTTAGGTGTTTTTTGAGTTTGGGGAACAGATAATAGTTAGAAGGAGCCAGGCCGGGGGAATAGGGTGGATGGGGCATCACTTGAAATGCTAAGGACGTCAGTTTTGCCATTGTTTCACCTGTAATGTGTGACAAGGCGTTGTCATGGAACAGGAACCTTTGGAAAGCTTTCCTTGATATCTTGCCTCAACTTCGTCAATAAAGCACAGTAATATTTTGCATTGATGATTGAACCCCGTTGGAGGTAGTCCACCAGGAGAACTCGCTTTTTATCCCAAAAAAACCTGTTGCCATTTGCTTCTGCACCAACCTTTGCACTTGGAACTTCTTTGGCCTGGGGGAAGCACTGTGCCTCCATTCCTTAGACTGTTCCTTTCTGTCAGGATCATAACAGTAGAACCATGTCTCATCACCAGTTACCAGTTTGCCCGGGAAATCTGACTCATTTCTTGCATAATGTTCCGAAACAGCCACTGATTACTCCACACGTTTCCTCTTTTGTTCGGTTGTTGAAAGTTTGGGGATCCATTTGCTGCCAGATTTCTCATTTTCCAGTTGTTGTGGATAATGGCACCAACTCTCTCACATGATGTTCTCAGATATACAGTGGTGCCTCGCTTAGCGATGTTAAGTCGTTCCAAAAAAATCGCTGCTAAGCGATTTCATCACTAAGCGAAATGCGGTTTCCCATTGAAATGCATTGAAAACCGGATAATCCATTCCAATAGGAACGAATTGCTGTCCTTAAGTGAAAATCGCCATAGGAAACATCGCTAAGCGAAACGCAGTTCCCGCATTGAAATGATTGAAACCTATTCAATGCATCTCAATGGGGAAAAAAAATTCAACAACAAATTAAAAAAGAGTCAGAACAAAGTCAAATTTGGTTAACAAAGGGTTTATTAAGTGCACTTTAACATCATAAATACTGTGCAAGTGATTTCAAACATTTTAAACAGTAAACTTTAACTTTATAAATAACAAACATTTTAAAAACAGCAGACATGAGGCAGGAACTTTAGGTTTATAAATGTTAACTTTATAAATAACAGAAAAACATTTTAAAGACAGCAAACATGAGGCAGGAACATTGGATTGTACAAAAAACTCTTTAGAAAGTGCATCAACATACAGAAAGTCTTCATAAAGTGAACAAACATAAAGAAACATTACATAAATTTTTAAGGACATACTTTTAACATTTTAACATTGTACAGTACAGTAAACATTACAGTACAGTGCAGTAACATTTTTAAAGTGAACAAGTGAGGCTGAAGCCTCTAAACCATCCAGACCAGTGTTCAATGCAGGGACCTGGAGGCACATAGAACTGTCCCCACATCACAGCAGCAGTCTTCTAGGAGGAGGAGGAGGGGGAGGAAGAAGGCAACTGGGCACCACTGGTGGAAGGAGCAGGTTCCTCTTTCTGTCTTGGCCTCTTTGTGAGGAACCTCTCCATAGTCAGCTGTTTCTGCCTCCTTGTCAGCATTCCTCTGAAAGGGGACATGATCCTTTCATCATAGGAGTTTGAAAAGTTATGTGCCAGAGCCGTGTCCGGGTGGTGCCGCTACGCTACAGTCTGGCCAAACTGCAGCAGTGCAAGAACTTCAGGTCCCTGGTGGACAGCTGTTCCTCCTCTGGCTCTTCTTCCTGCTCCTCCATAGCCTGTGCCTGCATCTCAACCAACTCCTGGGTGGACAGTTCCTGGTCGTGGCCCTCCACCAGTTCAGAAATGTCCTCTGTGACCTCGAGGCCCATGTTCCTCCCCAAGGCCACAATGTCCTGCATCACTGTGGACTCTGGTGCAGGCGCAGAAACACCAGTAGCCACACAGTCTGGCCAGAGCGGGCGCCACGCAGAGTTCAAGTTCCTCTGGCTGATGCCTCTGACTTATAGTGACCCTTTTCTGGGTTTTCCAAGTAAAGAATGCACAGAAGTGATTTACTATTCCCTTCTTCAGAGAGCGCCCTGGGACTGTGCAGCTTACCCAAAGCTACACAGGTTAGCTCATCTCCTACAGTACTGAGTGGGGAATCTATCCAAAACCTCTGGCTCTCCAGCCAGATACTTAAATCACTGAGATGTCTAGCCGGCTTCAGACTACTGTGGCTGGTAAAAAAAAGGGAAAAAAGATTCTATGGCTGAAGAAAAGAGGGAGAAAATAACCCAATGTTCAGATCATTAGCATATTGATTCAGTTTAGCCTGTGGCTGTTTTGTCATACTGAGTGGGACAATTCAGTCTTGGCAACTGCTGTCATGTATCTCTAAGCTTTAGTCATTGAGAGCAGCTTCCCAGTTCATTAATCTTTCTTTAATTGGGAATTGTTCTTCATAACTTTTTTTCTTGATATGGAAAGTAATGTTGACAGCCGATAGTGTCTGTTTCTTTGCTTTTTGTAACTGAAAAAGGTTTTCATTTTGACTGCATCATATAGTGGTGCCTCGCTTAATGAGCGCCCTGCTGAGCGATTAAATCGCTTAACGAGGGGCTCTGGGCCATCGCTGGAGCATTCGCTCAGCGATGGCCCCTATGGCGTTTTTTCGCTTTGCGATATTCGCTAAGTGATTCGCTTAGCGAATATCGCATAACGAAGCGGGGGAGAACAGCTGATCGGCGGTTCCAAAATGGCCGCCGGAAGGTCCGCGCCGCATTTTCGTGCCCTGCCCTCGCTTACCGAGGGTGCGAAAATGGCGGCGCTATGGAGGAACATCGCTTAACGGTGAGTTTTAAAGCCATAGGAACGCATTGAACAAAGTCCAATGCGTTTCTATGGCTTTTTAAATTCCGTTTAGCGATGTTTCGCTATAGCGAAGGTTAATCCGGATTAACCTCGCTATGCGAGGCACCACTGTATATGTGCTATATAGTCACACAGCCTTGTTGGGGTGGCTACTGCAGAGAACAGGAAAAAGGTTGAAGTGCATTCTGTAGGAAGAGGAAGGGAAGAGAACCTTTTTGGTGTAAGTTTGGAGATAAGGGATGTGGTGGCGCTGTGGGTTAAACTGCAGAAGCCTCTGTGCTGCAAGGTCAGAAGACCAGCAGTCGTAAGATTGAATCCACACATTGGAGTGAGCTCCTGTCACTTGTCCCAGCTCCTGCCAATCTAGTAGTTCAAAAGCATGTAAAAATACGAGTAGATAAATAGGGACCACCTCGGTGGGAAGGCAACAGTTTTCCGTGTCTAGTCGCACTGGCCACATGACTACGGAAACTGTCTTCGGACAAACGCTGGCTCTACAGCTTGGAAACAAGGATGAGCACTGTGCCCTAGAGTCAGACACAACTGGACTAAATGTCAAGGGGAACCTTTACCTTTACCTTGGAGTTGTTTATGATTAGGAAAAGGATGGGACAGGTTTTTGCCTAGGAAAATTAAATCAAAATTAACTCAAAGTAGGGAAACATGCTGATTCATGGCTGTATATGCAAGCAAGTGACATTTCTGCAAAATTCACTTTTTTTGTTTTCTTTGACTAGAATACAAAACAGTTCTAAATGTTTCAAACAAAATGCTTGTTTAACCCTGAAGGTTCTTTTAGCACACTTTACTTATGATGTCCTAAAGCCTCTGTGTATTCTTTTGACAAATAGTTTACATCTTGTCAGTTCTCCACAAAGTCAAATATTCCAAAAACTACCTTCTTGGAGCTGAAAATAATCTCTTATCCCATTTCCTTGATCAAAAGAGGTAGTAAAATATGAATACAGTGTGTAATTATAAGCAGTGACCCTCCAAAAGCATAAGCTTCTCTCCTCAAGAGAAAAATAACTAGCTTTGGGCTGACCCTTCCTCTCTAGTCAAGAATACAGACTCAGTGATTTTGGAATCTGGAACTCCTTGACTTCTTACTGCCTTGGGTTGTGAGACAGCAAGCTTCTTCAGGACTCTCATATTTTATTGCGAATGAGAGCTCAAACCCCAATAAGAAGGGGAAGGCTGGGGAATGAGGAAGAAAGGAAATAGAAGAAGAAATAATAATTTTGGGAAGAGGAGAAGGTGGTAGGAATAAATAAGAACAGAATGTGCCAGTGCCAGCAAACCCCAAGTGTCTCTCTGTGATCAAATTCCAGTGTGTGCTGTTTTTCCATAAGGAAAAGTAGATTCTTCCATTTTCACTGACTCTTTCCTCTAGCCAAAGCTGGCACAAAGTCCCATAAAAGATATCTGAGTTGCTTCTACATAGGCGTCTCCTAGACACATGCAAGTGAACTGGATCAAGGGGGACATCACTCATCTGTGTTTAGAGCAGAATAGATAAGATAAAGGCACAGGGCAAAATGGATTTTATTTACAAAGGTGTTAACCTTTGTTACATATATGAAAAGGAGAAATAGAATACATTCTAAAATTCCAGGTAAGGCAAAGTGTAAATACAAGGTTTCTTTCTTGAGATATTGCTTACATAAACATAGAATCATAGAATAATTGAGTTGGAAGGGGCCTATAAGGCCATCGAGTCCAACCCCCTGCTTAGTGCAGGAATCCAAATCAAAGCATATCTGCCAGGTAGTTGCCTAAATTTCTTTTAAATGCTTCCAGTGCTGGAGCACTCATCATCTCTTGAGGTAATTGGTTCCATTGCTGTACTGCTCTAACAGTAAAGTAGGAAGTTTTTCCTGATATTCAAGCGAAATTTGGCTTTGTGTAACTTGAGACCACTGTTATCTGTCCTGAATTCTGGAACGATCAAGAACAGATCCTGGCTCTCCTCTGCATGTACCTTTCAAGTGTTTGAAAAGTGCTGTCATTGTGTAACTTGAGACCATTGTTATTTGTCCTGAATTCTGGAATGATCAAGAACAGATCCTGGCTCTCCTCTGTATGTACCTTTCAAGTATTTGAAAAGTGCTGTCATTTCTTCTTAGTCTTTTTTTCTCAAGGTTAAACATGGCCAGTTTTTTCAGTCTTCCCTCATATGACTCAGATTCTACTCTCCTGATCATTCTTGTTGTTCTCCTCTGAGGTTGTTCCAGTTTGTCGGCATCCCTCTTAAAGTGCAGTGTCCAGAACCAGACACACTACTCTAGATGAGGCCAAATGAGTGCTAAATAGAAGGACATTGGTACTTCACAGGATTGATTGATTGATTGATTGATTGATTGATTGATTGATTGATTGATTGATTCATTCATTCAAGCCAAACGAGTGCTAAATAGAAGGACACTGGTACTTCACAGGATTTATTTATTTATTTATTTATTAGATTTCTATCCCGCCCTTTTAGACAAACTCTACTCTGGGCGGGATTTGGAGACTACACATCTGTTATTACAAACTAAAATGGCATTTGCCTTTTTTGCAGCCACATTATACTATTGGCTCATATTCCACTTGTGATCAATAACAAGTCCAAGATCCTTCTCACTCACAGTCTTACTGAGCCAAGTATTCCCCATCTTGTAATTGTGCATGATTATGTGAAACATTTTCTGAGTACCTAACACTGTAATCAAATAAAAGATGCCCTTATATATCTATCTGCATAGCCCCTAAATTAAACCCATGAGGCTATCAGTGACTCCAGAAAGGACCTAGCTAAACACTGGCTCATGTGCTGAGCCAGAATGAAAATGCCCCTAAACTGCAAGATTAAAGATCCCTTAGCAAGTCTGATTTTCTATAATCTGTGAGTCAACATAACTGACATCCCTGATTATCTGTTTAATGATATTTAGCCTTTCCTGTGCTGCCCTGTAATATGAAACACAAGTAATTTGTAGTTTGCAATGCCATATAATGACATACCAGAATCATTGCTCTTGCATTATGACACTATGGTTGAAATTCAGTAGGAAGTCAAAAGAGAATAGGCCTCCTTCCTTAAGTTCTACTGATGCTATGGGCCTTCTCTAGTTGCAGCTTGTTACTGGATTTCAGCCTATATCCAGGTTTTGAACAATTCTAAACCCTCATCTTCCAGACTCCAAAATCATAAACTATGCCCTCCTGGTCCAAGAACAGGAGTGTAACTCAAAATTGATACGCTCCTTTCTCCCAATGGAAACCCACAGATAAGTCCAGAGTTTCCATTTTGTTTGTTTGTTTGTTTGTTTATTGGTCTTTTGTACCATGCCCATTAGTACAAGGCAGTATTCTGGGTGATTAACAATCAATACAATCAATACAATGATAAGGTTGCCATTAAAAGGATGAGGAGCAGTGTTTTTTGCAACCTCTTAAGACTAAGTGTGTGTGTGAGCAGGAGCTAGGTGCAGCTCAACCAGGAACCAATTCCAAAGGGCTGGTGCCACAGCTAAGAAGACCCAACTTATAGTAGATGTTTTCTTGGTCTCCCTCAGTGTATCAACCTGGAGAAGCATGGCCTGTGAGGATTTGGTGGTGTGGGCCAATGTTCTTGGGGACATGCATTCTGACAAGCATTCCGATCACCCATATAACTTCAGGTTTAAAGCAAGAAACTTTTGCTATATATAATTGTATAAGGCATATTACACAAGCAGTTGTGTCTCTTGACTGTGTCATTCATCACGGTCCCTACACTGACCTGTCAGATGGAAGTTGTGCACCCACTGCACACCTGGCAGCACAATACATGGCAAGCCAGAGGGGAACACCACTTGCATGATTGTTTTTACGTGCTTTCATGTGACCAGTTTTCCTCAAGAGGATTTTGGTCATTGTGTGTTTTTAGAGAGTATGTGAGTCTGCATATTAGTTACTTTAAAACATGAAACATGATTGAGCCCTTGTCTTACTCCGATTTAGGTTAATTTTAGCTTTGCTCTCTGTCTGTAGATATATGCAAAAAACCTGGTGAATGCAGACCGCTGTGCACTCTTCCAGGTAGATCAGAAGAACAATGAGTTATATTCAGACCTATTTGATATTGGGGAAGAACATGAAGGGAAACCTGTCTTCAAGAAGACCAAAGAAATAAGGTGAGAACTGGGAGTGAGTTATTTTTGCACATAAAGATGATTACCCAGTCTCTGTTCATAGCTACAGGCCCCATGATGCATTTTGTCACAAATACCATTATTCCTGCCAGGACCTGCAATTCTAGAAGTTAGTTTTTCTGGAAATTATAATTCTGGTGATATCAAAACTACATGTCTAAATTGTAATATCTCTCTCTGAAATACTGTTTCCCTTTGGATACCACATGTTAAAAAAAACAGTGTTACTCCAAGGTAGGTAAAAAAATAAATATTAGAGTAATACTTAGTTTGTCAAATGGGCAAAATCATTCTACACACTGAATTTTCAGAACAAACCAACTGGAAAGGTGGCAATAGAGTGTCTATGCTAATATAAAATCCTTGGTGCACCTTTGGCCTAACAAGGTTTTTCTCTAATTTGTCTGAGAACTCCTGGTCCATACAACATCAGCCCTTGCCATGTGCAGACTACAGGAAAAGCTTGTGGTGAATGAACTTCATATTGTATTTGCGAAGGCTTTCATATTCCCTGCCTTTAATGTTGGCAACCCTCAGAAATGAAATAATGACAGCTATTAATGGAATATGTGTAGTCTTAGCTTCTCCTCTCTTTTTACTTTTATTTTGAGCTGTGTTTGGGTTAGAACAACACTTCTCATTGCTTAAAGTGGAGGTCTAAAAAATCCAAAAGTATTTGCGAAGGCTTTCACAGCCGGGATCTAATGGTTTTTGTGGGTTTTTTGGGCTCTTTGGCCTTGTTCTGAAGGTTGTTCTTCCTAATGTTTCACCACTTTCTGTGGTCAGTATCTTCAGAGTGCTGTCCTCTGTGCTCTGGTGTAGTTTGCTTGGGAGTGCTGTCCTCTGAAGATGCCGGCCACAGAGACTGGTGAAACGTTAGGAAGAACAACCTTCAGAACATGGCCAAAGAGCTCGAAAAACCCACAACAACCGTCAAATCTAAAAGTGTTAAGTATGGGTTGCTTTTAAAGAACAGTAGTGGATGGAAAGTACTGTTTTCCAACCTCACATTGATTTCTCAGTCCCAACTGGTGGAAATATTACCAGAATGTGGAGTGCAGTGGGAATGGTTTGAACACCAGTGTACTCCTCAAATCTCTACTTCCCTATTTGCACTCCATCACCAATATGTAGAGGAAGTGGTTGAAATCCTGTTGATTTGTTATGCATGTGGAAGTGAAAAAGCCTTCTTGTTGGAAATTAACAAGGTCCTTCCTGCTGAGACTTTCAGTTACATTCCAAGCCCATGTGTAAATTAGAAACTACTCTTTGTAATTTCTGTCTCGCCGTTTGTCACAGCAACATGGATTTTGCCCCACTGCTACTGCTGGTAAAATTAACTTTTTTGGGTAGCTATAATACTGAGAGAGGAGCTGCTAATAAATGGCACTACATCATTCATCACTACTGTTGTGGCTGAAAGATGAGAAGGGAAACCACACAGGCAATATTGCATGGAACTGAATTCCATATTTTGATTGTGCAGTATGTGAAAGAAGTGCTTCTTTTCTGTGATCAGAACGTCCCACCATTTAGCCTCATTAAGTGACCCTAAGTTTGGGTATTATGAGAGATGGAACAAAACTCCTCCATGTTCATTTGCTCATGCTATGCATATTGTTATACATCTCCTCCATGTTCCCTTATTTGTACTTGTCCCTAAGCCCTACCCAGTTTTTTTTTAACTTTTTCTTTAAATGAGAGTTGCTCTAAGCACTGAGACCAAAGCTTCAATAGTCTTTGCCAATCCAAATAATTTAGAATTTTTAATCCAGGGGTTTTCATTGGCTTTAGTATCAACTATAAATTCACAAAATATGTGAACTTGCGTGTTCCCTGAAACTCTTTATCAGACTAGAAGGTAAAAACATGGAAAAGGAAAAGGGCATAGAAGTCCTTTAATTTGTCTAGGTATTTTGAGTAGTGCAAAACTGCAGTGAAACTCAGTCTCAATGGGGCTTTGTAAGTTGGAGTATTGTGCACGTACCATATGACTTCTTCCAAAGGCCACTGGGAAGAAGGGAGCATGGATATTCCCTTTCTTTGCAAACATAAAGATAGCAGCCACTCGTGAATCAGCATCCTGGTTACTTTCTTTGGTAGAGTTTTTAGGCATGTTTGTGGGGCTGGAGCTATTGCTCCTAACTTTGGAGGTACTCTTTTATTTTTGTCCCTTTCCACATTACAATGACTTTACTTTTCATACTTAAGACACATAGTTACTTAGTAATTAGTAATCTCCATGTGGGTGGATATTTGTGCTTTTAATTAAACTGATCCTATCTCACTGTGTTTATTATCTGTATACTGGATTCCCATAATTAGGGACAGACGCAGTATACTGACCACAGGAAGTCTGCCTAAAACTATCTGTCTCTAGAGTGATCCTCAGCTTTTAGAAATTCCTGTCCACAGGCATTGTCCTCCTGATAATCTGGACTGTTATAGTACAACCCACTTAAGAGGTTTAAAAAAGATGTGGGGAACCCCCATGGGACAGTTAGGATGGCAGGGGCATCCTCATAACATATAGCATGTGTTTACTGACTCTCTGTTGTGAAACTTTCATGTCTAAGTCTTTGTATCTGTTGTACTGTTTAGTATATTTTATTCATTTTTGAAGAAAGTATCAAATAGAAGTTTGTTTGAAGCACTGAAAGATGGAGAATGATGCATTCTTATTTATCTTTGGTCCTTATTTACCCAAACCTTTACTGCAGTTGCACTTTGAAGGGATGGACCGAGGCAGTGGAGGGAGAAAGTAATTTCCCAATTGTACAGTTCGCAAGTATTAAGCCAAACAGTTAATTGAAAAACTGGGGGCTGGGATAGATACGGCTTTGATCATACAGTAAACACTGGCATGCAAGTTATATTTAAATAACTGTCCAGAGCGTGTTGAGATGGTCATCTCTGTGACATTCATGGCATGAAGGGGCTGCTAACCATTTGCTGTGCTGTGGTCCATATTGAAGGCATTGGTGCTGTTTCTCCACAAAGGAGAGTAAATATTTTCATCATTAATGCATTATTCTGCATCTCTTCACAGTCTTTAAAGCTTGTCCCCGTAGGGAAGTTAACACAGAATAGCCTAGTGTGCAATCATATTATTGGTAGTAATCTTAGTGTATTTTAGTAGCTAAAATATTCATTTCCCCCTCATAGATGAAAGATAATTCAGCTCTGGCAGAATTCCTGAGATTGGAAGGCAGCATTAAAAAACATTTCCAAGGAGGGCTAATCTCCCCATAGCCCAGTTTGTCTTCCTGCCTTTACAGAGGCAGGGTTGCTATTGAGCTGTTCAAGAGTTCTGGTGGGGGAAGGGACCTCCAAGGAACAGCAGGCAAACAAGCCAGAGGCATCCAGCAGACAGATGATCTTTTTAACCTTTATAGGCCCCCTCCTTCTCTTACAAGTTAGAAGGGACAGGCTGAGGAACATGCACTCTAGGTGACTGTCTCTCAGGTGCTCTGCTAATGTCATACAGACCAACAGGCTTCCTTCTCCCTCCCCAGACTTATATTTATCAGAGGACCAAAGGAGTGGATGTATTCCTCTACTGAAACAGAATGAGACCTGTATCACAACTAATGAGAACCAAACCACACATTATATTGCAAGCACTTGTCCTTGTCATCCTCTTCTCGAAAAGTAATTGCAGAAGCAATTTGGATTAGAGCAGAGATGTCCTTAATTTAAGTCATGCTGCTGCCACCTCCCTGTTATGGAAAATATATAGGCACCTATATGATTTTTCTGATAAGGCAAATAAGTTCTGAGAGAATTTGAATTGGATGTAGATTGTAGAGGATTAATCGCTCCTCAATGCAGTCCAAATTCCAATCTTAACACTGGCAGTTGCTTTTTAAAGAGGGGAAACATGCAGAGTTCCCATTGTAAAAATACTCACCTCTTTTATTTGAATGTATTGCACTTACATGTGAGACTGAGTGCATTTCATTCCCTCCACATGTATTGGAGGAGAAGATGGTTGATCACATTTTGTTAGGTGGCTCATAGCAGAATTTGAGCTCAGACTGTCTAGAGCAGAAGTCCCCAACCCCTGGTCCGTGGCCCGGTGCCGGTCCATGGCCTGAGCTGGACTGGGCCACCGAGACAGACCTCCTGCCCCCCCCCGCATGCACTCACTCCTACACAGTAGAGGGACAAAGTATTGCGCGCTCCAGCATGCCCGTGCGAGTGCTGCACCACTGTTTGCGCATGCGCACAAACACATGCGTGCCCAGACAAGCACCGTGCTGCTGTTTGCACATGTGCACAAGCGTGCCCATCTGTGTGAGTGCCATGGCACAGCCGCACGGTGCTTGCACGTATGGACGCACGTCTGTGTGAGAGAACACGTGCGCTTGTTCACGCATACTCCTTCCCCAGCCGGTCCGTGGACCAAAAAAGCTCCTTCCCCAGCCGTGGACCAAAAAAAGGTTGGGGACCGCTCTAGATTCTAGAGCTTTAAAGAGAGAACATTCCTTTGCTGAAGTCCTGTCTTACCTAAGCCATTTTCCAGTAGGACACATTAACCTAAAGACAGATGTGGAAGGGTAGAATATATGGACAGCTATGTCTCCAAATTTTTTTAGAGGGACAAAGTATTCTCCAGATTTTTAACCTTCCTTCTCTCATTTGCCTCTGCCTAAAGAGTGGCAATCTTAAACTTTTGTTGGTTTCTCGGATCATACACTGAATGCACAAAGCCCCATATACAACATAAGAACTTGTCTGCCTTTTTTACACACACAAAATCATAACAAAAAGTGTGGTCCCTGTTTATACTTATCCACATAGCTATAGAAATAATATGATCTGACTTGTCTTTTTATAGGAGGTATGCTAGCATATTTCATTTAGGGTAGAGACACCATTTGAATCAATTCATCCATGTAAGTCACTACAAAGACATAGCCATTGTTTTAGCTGATACGGCATTTTTAAATAGGTTCTTGAGACAGTAACTGGCTGCTGGCTCTCTGGGCAGCACATGAGATTCATGTTGTCAGCTCAGGGAAGATACTTCTTTGAATATCCAACTGCTGAACAACTTCTATCTGAAGAAACAAAAGGAAATAAATCCTTATTTCATAAATTTCCATTGTTCCTCTTCATAGTCTCTGTGAAATCACTCCTATGGGTTCCTTTCAGACCTGCATGAACACCCTTGGAACTTTCTAGAGCCTAAGTAAAGAGTTAAAACCTGCCCTCTTCAACACGTATCCTCCCCACCCTGCATGGAGCCTTCAGTTCCCTTTTTGCTGCCGCTGAAAGAACACCTAGGATCTTTCTCAAAGCTTTACCATTTTTCCTCAGCTTGTTGATTTGTATACATTTTTTACCTTTAAATCTTTTACCCTCTCCATGTTTTCCATCATTTGTCCTAAAAATGGGGGTTAGAAACTTTTTCTCCTAGTTGTTTTTTTTGTCATAATCTGTTAATAGCTCTTCCCATCTTTTTATGTCCCTGGCAGGCCCATTCAAAAAGTATGTTATACTGTAAGAACGAAATCTCCCTCACTGATAGCCATTCAAGTGTTTGTAGTGCTTTGGTGAGGGACATCAAAGACATAGTTGCTCCATCTGTGACAAATTTACAAATGTTGCCATCAAGAACCAACCGTCTCACTTGAAATCATACTTGTGGGAGAAATTGTTACAAGCAGTCAGTAAAATTGCCAAGGATACACCTTTGGATTACAGGTTGCTTACCTGTAATTGTAGTTTTTCAAGTGGCTATTTGTGAATTCACACAACCCACCTAGCCTCCCCTTGGTCTGCTATGTGACTCCCTTTTTTTAAAACCAGTGTTAAAACTGAGGGCTTGATACAGGGTGGGGAAGCATGTGTGGTAGAGAGGGCGTGTGTTAACTCTTTGCTTAGGCTCTAGAAATTTCTGAGGACATCATGTAGGAACAAAAGGAACCTATATGTGTGAATTCACAGATGGTCACTCAAAGCACTGCAGTTATAGGTAAGCAACCTGTCCTTCTCATATGTATGTAACAAGTCTTCCTGTCCACTCTATGTATTTGATGCTAATTCTGGATATTGAAATTGTTTTTCTAAAGGTGGTTTAGCAGTTCAACAGGTCAAACTCCCACCCCAACTTTTCTGCAGTATGATGGGCAAGAGATCTTGTTCTTTTTATATGTTAATTGTATTGTGATTTTATTTCATAGCCTTTGACAATCTGGTGTTAAAAAGATTTAACCTCCCTAGAAATGATTTTAGCTTTAGATTCTGATAGCATATTGTAAGAAGATGTCAACTAAAGCTAAGTTACCTCCCTCATATCTGTGAGAGGACTGAATTTTATTGAACACAAATGTTCCTTTTTTCTTATAAGCATATTGTTTAATATGTTCATATCTCTTTTATGTTATTCACAGATTTTCTATTGAAAAAGGAATAGCTGGTCAGGTAGCAAGAACAGGTGAAGTTCTCAACATTCCTGATGCTTATGCTGATCCACGTTTTAACAGGTAGGAATTCAACAGGCTTGCAATGCCGCTTGTGATGTATTCTTCTAATGTAAATATGGAACATTCGTTTCAACTCAAGTGTTGTCAATAACTTCAAAAGCAAACTGATCTTTTAAAATAAAGGATACTGAGGTAAGTATAGTTCTTGTGAGACTTCCCCAGAAGGGAAGGCACCTCCCTCTAAAGCATGTAGGCCAGGCCAGAAAAAACTGCTTCCTCAGTGTTCTCCCACACTGCTCTGAGTGAACTCTTTACTTGGGTTCGAGCCCCTAGACAGTCAAAATCCATTAGTTCTAGTTCTCTCACACTCACTCACACATACACACTCACTCACTCATCTGCTTTTCCCTTGCCTCCTGATTTCCAGCGGGGCTTATGGGATTACAGGAATTTTCTCTTTTGCATTCTTGTGCCTGGTTAGGCCTCCTTTTTGCTGTCATTCAGAACACACATACAAAATTTCTTGTCTTGCTGCAAAGGGAGGTAGCATCCCAAGACCAAGGAATACCATCTGGGTGATACAGGTGATAGATACACCTGGTAAACATGTTTGTTTTCCCCATTTTCATCCTCAAGTTGAAACAAAAAGCTTCACACAAGCAAGTGTTTTATTTTTGAGATCAAAAATAGCTCTGTGAGTCCAATGGGGACATTTGCAAGCTGTTTCCCATCATAGGCAAGAGCACCCTCAGTTGAAGGAAATTCCACCTCTGGGACCATGTAAGGAGGGTTAATAAGTGTTGCCTAAGGATTTGGGTTTTTTTTTTCCCCCTGAGAGTCTAAGTGAACTCCCTATCATTATCAAGGAAGGCTATCCTGGAACTGAGAAATACATCCCCCCCAAAAAAGCCCAAAATCAGAATAGAGAAACAAAAACAAAACACACACCCCCCCAAAAAAACAACCTCTGAGATAAAATTTGGAAATTGAGCATGAGAGAGAACAGATGGGTTCAAGCCTCACATCAGCTGAATCCAAGAGGACTTCTCATTCCTCACTACTTCAGATCTCATCTGTTAGGTGATGGAATGGAGAATCCACTACTGAGGCAACTACCAGTCAAGGTCCCCATTCCATGTTATGCAACACAGTGGGGCCCAGAGAGGTCCCAGGTCACTTTCTAAAGGTGGGCGTGTTAGTTGAATGCAACTATTCAAGAGCTCCTGTGCACCAGAGAAATGGTGGTACGGGAGGCTTTGCAAATATATAGCTCTTTCCCTCCAAACTGGGAATCAGATAAATGGAAGTTTCCAGAGAGACTTCAGGTGATGGGAAGGTGAAACAATTTCCAGATGCTCCTCTCTTAACACTTAGTGAAGGGAGCATTCATTCTCACACCTTGGATTGACTGAATACATGGTGGAGTTCCAGTTGATAATCTAGATCAATGCTTCTCAAGCTTGGGTCACCAAGTGTTCTTGGGCTGCAACTCCCAGAAATCCTGGCCAGCTCAGCAAGTGGTGAAGGCTTCCGGGATTCTAGGTTTTGAAACATGGGGAAGAAACATGCAGCTTTTCTCCCCCCAGAAATAAAACCCGGACATTGTTGAGAAAATCCAAATATATGCAGTATACTTATTTCATATCAAACTTTAGCTTCATTCCTGACTTAGCATATAACATTGTACCGAATTAGCAAAACCTGGTGTTAAAAGTGTTTTATGAAATTCTAAATTTGCAGAGTTTTTCCCTACATTTGACTGATCTTTTTTCACGATGAGGAAAAAGAGGGAAAAAATCATTATTATTTTTACAGAATCATTAGCTAAAATCCTCCAGTGTAGCTATGCAAATTATATCACATTTGGAGACAAAATTGCCCCAAGTATTAAAATCTCCATAGACATTATCAGTTGTATGTGAAGTCACACAACTCAGTATGCAATGGACAGTGTTAATGCTAATTGGGACAATTTGCCTCCAAAACCTAAGCCATTTGTGCTATGCTAGCATAACTAGGTAAGTGGATTTGGCCCCATGTCTTCTTCCCTGGGCCTTCACTTCTCTACTCTTATGTTCAGAAAGTTTGTATTTAAAACAAATTGAACATCTATTTGTCATTTTCTTTCCATTTCCCCCTTCCTTTTGATTTTCCAGAGAGGTAGATCTCTACACAGGCTACACCACCAGGAACATTTTATGCATGCCTATTGTGAGCCGAGGAAGTGTAATAGGCGTTGTGCAGATGGTGAACAAATTAAGTGGAAGTGCCTTCTCTAAAACTGATGAAAACAACTTTAAAATGTTTGCGGTCTTTTGTGCTTTAGCCTTACACTGTGCTAATGTAAGTTGCTTTCCATAAAGATAGCAAAGTGAATCAATACGTTTTAATTGGTTTTATAAAATACTACTCTGTTTGGGATTTATTTAGCCAAAATAATTGCACTAATTTAGATGTCAATAGCTATTATGTTGAGAATTGACACACACTAAACTGATTCTGTTCATAATATTAGAAGATTATATTTTCATTTCACCAAATCTGTGTATTCATTATTTTAAAGTATCCTCAATTATCCTTCAAAAATAACATTTCTAAGTGGTCTTAAGGAGTAAAAAATGTTTAGTTTAATCATAATGTTTAACCACAATGGTCTTATATTTTAGATGTACCACAGAATTCGCCATTCAGAGTGTATTTACCGTGTAACTATGGAGAAGCTTTCCTATCATAGTGTTTGTACAGCAGAAGAATGGAAAAACCTCATGGACTGCAAACTCCCTCCACAGCTCTGCAAAGAAATTGAACAGTACGTTTTTAATGTAATTTTTTTAAAATAGAAAAAGAGATTACATTGGAAAGGCAATAGCTGTCACTGTGGAAAGAGCCAAAGGCCACTAGGTAAGACAAATATTTTTTTATTGTACTTGTGGGTTCACATCATTTGAGTAGGTCTGGTAACAGAATTGAAGTAGGCATGGAGGGGACGTTTAACCCTTTCTTCCTCAAGAAGAAAAAATATATTTGAAACTTGTGTTTGCATTGGGAGGAAACTCCCCATTAATACCAGTTTAACCTATCCTCCTACTTTATAAAGACTAAGAGTAACTGTACTGTTCACAGTTCAGACATCCCCAAAACATGTAGAAAGCACATGTGACGAGGGTAGTGTGTTAATTCCACTCCCTCTGTAGTTGCTTTCATGAAAATAACAGTCCAAAGAAGGTGGGGCAGCTGCATAGATTCTTCATGTGCGCCGGAACGTGAAAGAACTGTGATTTTGGCTCATGTGGAAAATCTCCCCTTCTACAAACAGTTGCTTTTACATCGAGTGGTTGAATAGACCAGATAGGCGGGGTATAAATCAAATAAATAAATAAATAAAATAAATATAGAAAGTGATAACAAGGAGAAAGGGGTAATTAGTTCTCTTCTTGTAAGTGGTCTTTACATGCTTTGAGTACAGCTAGATGAGGCTTGCACATCACCACTGAATTAGTGGCAATGTGATTATTGATAACTCCCATATCCCAGGCTACTATTACTCTGGGAAGCAGCGAAAACCAAGTGTGGAACCTGATTCTGAGACATCCTGGGCCAGCCCCATGGTTGTCATGGCAGTCCAGGTAGAATAATCATTTGTATACACAGTACAGTTACTTTCCTATTTAACATGTCTGCTCTTCAGTGCTGTGTTTCCAGTACACCCAAGAATTTTACTCAGCTCATTAACTGGGAAATAAAACACCTGGTGCTCCTGACTATGATGTAAGAACAATTAATAATGAAAAGACGAGCAGCTGTATCATTCGGACCTCTGTGTAAGATTATGAATATTGACATGAGAAAAACATGACTTTAAATAACAAGATAAAATACAATTTCAAATGTTAGAAAAGCATTTTGTTATTTCAACCATCATGATCATAGTGACTACAAATACAGATTCACAAACTCTAAAAGAGGTAACAGTAAAGGGATCTCTAACAAAATCATATTTTTGAAGGCCAACCAAAATGCATCTTTACACTGAAAGCAAGAGAGTGTAGTGCCTTTATTAGCCCACCTAAAAGTCACAAACACAGGCTAGCTTGTGAATCCGTATGAGTCTTCATTAGGGTGGGATTTTCATGTTTTAACAAAAGAAAAAAAATTCAAGGAAGAGACACACTTTTTTCTGTATTTTTTCATTGATGACTGAAAAACAGCCTCCTAAACATGTATAATTCATGTTTAATGATTTAAAGACATGATTTAAAGACAGAAATTAAAACAGGATTGGACAAAAATTTGGAAAATGAGAGTTTTTAAGATTAATGTCAGTAAGAATAAAGGGGAAAAAATTAAAATTAGTTTAAGGTGGTACATCACCGGTGAAATTGAACATAATACATTCAGGCTATTCTAAGGCTTGTTGGGAATAAATATCATATGTGGTGGGAGTGTAAATAGATTCAGAAATTTTGGAAATTGATTTTTAAAGAAATATGTGATATATTTGGAAAAGAGCAAACTTCATTCTAAAATTGCTTTGCTGTCAATTTTTTATAAGATAGAACTTGATTATTGCTCAAAGGAATTAATTTCTAATTTATGACAAGTGCTAGAATATTAATAGCTAGATTCTGGAAAGATAAAAATGATATTAAATTAGAAGATTGGTATAATGAAGTATGGGACATTGCGTTAAATGATAAATTGACTACTGAACCTAAGATGGAAAGAGGGGAAATAAGTTTAAATATTTTTACGCTATTTGGTGTAGATTTATTGAATTTGTATTAGTGAAAGGAAAGAGGAAAGCCTCTAAACAACAATCAATGCAATTTTGGAAAGGAGGTTCATAATAAAAGTATTGCTCCAAAGGGTCCCGTGGGTATGGAGTGTGCACTGTGTTTAGATTGCATTAGTAAGTATTTTGTATTCTTGTATTTGTTTTGGAAGTTTAATTTTTTTAAAAAAGAATAATTCATGTTAATGAAAGAGGGGACACAAAAGTTTTGCATTCTTTCCTGTTCTACTTTTTCATTCAACCTTTCTTTCACCCTTTGTCAAATTGTCCAGAAAATTTTTCCTCCCCAACATCTTGAGAGCTACTGTCAGCAACCAATCAAAATGTCTGAGGGGAGCAAGAATTTTGGATCTGTAAATGAGCCTGGACTGTTTAATTTTTTTAAAAAAATGAATAATTCACGTTAATGAAAGAGGGGACACAAAAGTTTTGCATTCTTTCCTGTTCTACTTTTTCATTCAACCTTTCTTTCACCCTTTGTCAAATTGTCCAGAAAAATTTTCCTCCCCAACATCTTGAGAGCTGCTGTCAGCAACCATTCACAATGTTTGAGGGGAGCAGGAATTTTGGATCTGTAAATGAGCCTGGACTGGTTGGAACTAGAGATGGGGATGGATTTTTAAAAATGGCAATTCATTTTGATCTGTTATTCATCAAGGTTAACGAATCAGCAAATACAAATATGCGAATAGTCTTCGATGAATCAATCTGTTGATTCATCTGCACTTTAAATGGCTATAACACTGCCCCTTGATGACCTAGGGACACCACATTTGCATGACAGCTTTCTCAGACGCATTTCTACAACTCCTGAAAGATTGGTGAACATTGGATCATGGACTCCAGTGTTATATCGTCACAAAGAGGACCCCCCAGGAAAGCTCCCCCCAGGTACTTAGAGAATGCAGAATCACAAAGGAGCTTCTTATGTATTTCCCCAACACACCTGCCAACTTTAGTGAAGATTAGATATCAGAAATTGGGTCCCCCCAGGAGACTTTACCACACAGCACATTGAGGGAGTTATATTTAGCCCCAGCAGAATGAGAGGTCCCTTTGGCAGAGGCATGCATGAGGCAATGAGTTTGTCTCCAGCTCAGTACAACATTACATTTGCCAGTAGAGTTTGCCCTCAGGAGGACTGGAGGCAATGAGGTATTTGGCAGCACAGCAGGCTTTTGGGCTCCATTGGGCACTGAGGAAGTTGGCAGCAGTAAGGCAGGCTCTTTTTGCCCCATCGGGCACTGAGGCAAAAGGCAGCAGAGCAGACTTTGGTCTTCTTCAGCAACATCAGATTTGCCTGGAAAGGAAAGGTTTTTGCCCCCAGGAGGCAACTGAGGTTGCAACTTCCAGCAGCACCAGCAGCACCAGCAGATGAACAGGGTCAGTGCTACTACCAGTGGTTAATGCATGGAGCCACGGGAACAGATCAGCTCTGCAATCTGAAGCCGGGCGATGGGGTGACAAAGATGCATGTTTAGAACTGGAAAGCTGGGGATTGCTTGCAACCTGGCTGCTGAGACCACCGGGATATGATAAAGGTTTGTGGGGGGGGGCTTAGACAGGCCGGCCCCCTTGGCACAGGTTGAAAACCAGACAAGCTCTGCCGTCTGAAGTCGGGCGATGGGGTGATGGGATGACGCCTGTACAGATTTTGGGTAGGGCTGAGACAGGCCCTCTTTGGCACAGGGGACACCTGGACATGGACAGTCTTTGGGTGGGGCAGAGCCTGGCCCAGGTGACTCACCTGTCCACCAACGTCTAACTAGACTTGCTGACAACTTTCAAAGAAAGAAAGATGCTCAGGTTGAAAACCAGACGAGCTCTGCCATCTGAAGCCGGGCGATGGGGTGATGCTGGACAGGCTTGGATGGGGCAGAGCCCGGCTTTGGGTGTCCTAACATGGCCGGACAGCCGTCTGTCTTGGCATATTATGGGTGTCACCCAACACTTTGCTCTTGTACACTTTAGTTGTACAAGAGCAACTATTTATTCATTTTTCTTACTGCTCAGTCTGGGTCTGCCAAGAGACCTGGATGGCCCTCTTTGCTTGTTCAGGGGTGCCAGGACCGGCTCTGGGTGTGCCAGCCAAGAGGGTTAGATGGCCCTCTTGGCATGGTCGGGTGACCCACAAACAGGCTTTGGGTGGGGCAGAGCCCGGCCACACTGCTACTGTAGCGGCTAATCCGCGGGGCTGCTGGTCAGCGGAGCTAATTTGTTTGGGTTGTTCCAACTTCTGCCTACCTACAGAGTTGGCATGGGACAGAAAGCAGAGTGTGTTGCTTCATTGGTCACTGCGGTAGTGGGCAGCAGCAAAGTACCATGTCTTGCCCCATTGGTCACTGAGGAAGTTGGCAGCAGCAACGTAGAGTGTGTTGCCGCATCAAGCACTGAGGTTGTTGGCTCCAAAGTAGGCGGGAAAGCATGTCTTAATAGGCATCAGGCATTGAGGCAATTGGCAGCAAAGTAGGCTTTGCCCATTGGGTGTCTAGTGGCAGAAATCTTCAACATCAATGAGCAAGAGGGTAGCGTTTGCCATCAAGGTGGCATATGAAAGACAAGCCTCCAGAAAGAATTAATTATTTAGTCAAGTATGCTGTTTTTGACTACCAGGAAGGGTTTGGGTCAGCCCAGCCCTCTTGCCATGGGAAAGCCAGGACGACAGCTTAGGAAAACCAAATGATCAGCTCTGCAGTCTGAATCTGAAGCCGCGCGATAGTGTTGTTTGTTTTGCTATTGATGAAGAAAAGGGATGTTGTTTGTTGTTGGCACAAGATAAACTCTGCAGTCTCAAGCTGTGCAATGGGGCGATGCCTGGACAGGCTTTTGGGACCCATTGGGGCACTGAGGTAAATTGGCAGCAGTAAAGTAGAGTATGCTACCCCATCGGGCACTCAGGCACACAGCCACCGGAAAGCAGGCTTTGGGGCCCCATTGGGGCACTGAGTTAAGTTGGCAGCATCAAAGTATAGTATGTTGCCCCATTGGGCATGAGGCACACATCAGCCGGAAAGCAGACTTTTGGGCCCCATCGGGGCACTGAGGTAAGTTGGCAGCAGCAAAGTAGAGTAGAATCAGCTTTGGTGTGCCAAGAGGGTGTTTAGGCTTGGATGCCAAGAGGGCCAGCCTGGGTCTGCCCCACCCAAAGGCTGTCTCCGTGTCACCCCATCACCATATTACCTGGCTTCAGATTGCAGAGCTGATCTGGTTTAACCCATGCCAGGCAGGAGTTCTGCAAAACCCAACGGGCTTGGTTTCTGCAAAACTTAGCCCTCTGGGACTATGTAACCCAGCCGGGAGGCAAAAGATGGAACAAACTTAGCCTGACAGGACTACATAACCCAGCAGGCAGGGTGGCAGAAGGTGGAACAAACAGCCCACCAGGAATACATAACCCACGGGTCATCTCTGAGCGCCATGAAATGATCCCACATGGCCTCTCTGCCATGTTTGCCCAAACGAGGATTCACTGCCTGCCCCTGACTGCTGGCCTGGGAAGAACTCGGTGTCCCAGGGGTGCTGCTGGTCGGGGAGGAGGGAATAGATGACTCTGGGGATGAGGAGGGTGGTGGCTATGAAGCCTGCCCTGCCATTACTGGTTCCAAATCAGACTGGGGATCTTCAGAAACCAGTAACTCCTCAGATCCCTCTAGGAAGAGGAGCGGCAGTTCTTTTGGCACCTCTGGAAGCTTTGGTTCCATGCCTGCCTTCAAGGCCACAGGAGGAGGGACAGTAGCACAGGTTATCGTAGATGTGGTTGTGCACATGGTGGTCATGATGATGGTGCTGCTAATTATCCTGCGTAGCTTCACAGCCTTCTTCCTCTTGGATTGCCCCTGAAGAAATCCCTTCATTTTGTACTGCCTGCCTAACAAACTAACTAGACAAATAAAGCAATGGAAATTGAGGAAGGAAACAAATAGAGGGTCAGGGAGTGCATGTAAATTTTATTTTTAGAATGATAGTGGTGTAATTAATCTGACCTGCCTGCGTAACCAAAAGCCCCCCCCCCCAATAATGTAATTAGGAAAATTTCCCCTGACCCGCTGTGGCAGAAAAGCCAAAAAAAGTCCAAAAAGAAAAGCCTTGCCAGCTAAGTCTCAGTTAGTCAGTCAGACAGACAGACACACACTCGAGTAAGTTTTGGAAGAAAAAGGAATTATGGATCCAGCCACCCACCAAATTTCATGAGAGACACAAACCTCTCTAAAATGAACTTTTGAAAACTGATTATAAGGGAAAACAGATTCCATAGTCACACAACGACAGTTCTCTCCTCCGGACCCCCCCACACACACACCTCTCCAGGAAGAAAAAAAGATTTGATTTATTTGAATTTGAAATGAAATTAAGTCCTTCCAAAGAAGTAGCCTAAGCTACCTGAAATCCCTCTCCAAATTCCCAGTAAAGTTGGTGATGATTGTTGAATGATGATGAAAAAGAAAAATGTAAGTCTTTGCTGCTGCAAAAGTGAAACCGCAAGAGCACCAGCAAGCCAGCGAGCAGCAACTTGTTTTCACTCCAGAGAGCACAAACAGAAGTGGTGAATGGCCGGACGGGAAAAGCTTATATGAAGCGTCTGTAAAAGTAGATCCACCTTTCAGCAACGCTATTGGCTGCCGGACAGGCCAATCCAGGATCTCTGTCCTGATTGGCCAGAACTTCAAATTGGCACCAGCAAGCTCAGAGAGGCCCCCAAAAGGGGTAACAAATAGAGACGAATATGAACAGATTGATGAATAAAACCGAGGAAATATTCATCAAGCCATATTCGTCCTGATTTAAAATTTTACAAATATGGATCGACGAATATATGATGATTCAGCTATATTTGTCAGAAAAACTGATCCTTTTTAATATTCATTCCCATCTCTAGTTGAAACACAGTGAGGAGTAATTTTTTATTTGCTTCAGTCAATCTTTATGGGTGTGTGAAGTTTCTGGTTCCCTGTGTATTGGATTGTGGTGCCAGCTTAGCTGCATTGTTTTGTTACTTCATAACTGTTCTTTTCCTTTTTTGCCTTTTATTCTTGATTTTTTTTGATGGGGGAAAATTCCCCCCCCCTTTTCTTTGGATTATTTATGCTGTTGCCACTAGACAACCTGCCTCTGGCACCATGCCTCAGTGGGGTTATGTTTTGGATTCCATACACATCTCTAATTTCTTTTGGGGATCCCCACAACCCTCCTTTCCTTTCTTGAATTATGTTTGCTGCCTCTCTGCTGCTGCATACTGGATTCAGAGAAGAAAACAGAAGTCATGAGGGTGGGGAAAGAGAACTTTCTCCATATTCTAGTATCCTTTTTTGCTTTTATTTGCTTGCTTCCTGTTTTTGATTTGGGGAGAGGGGGCTGGTTTGTTTTTGTTTTTGCTATTTTCCCCCTGTGTACAAGGGGGATTGTTTTTCCTTTTTTTAAAAAAGTTACTTGGTTAATTAACTGTATTTATTCTGTTAAAGATGTAATTAGTGCAAAAAATGGGTTAAAACAAAGCTAAATGCCCTGGAAGAAGCAGCCCCTTTGATATAAAACAGAAGGACTGCTGCATGAAAAATATGAATATGAAAGATGCACCCTCTGAAAAACCCCCAAAACAAAACAAAAATAATATTTTTGTCATATACTCCCCTAATGTTTATCAAGCTGGGAATTACATAGCTGAGGATGAATCAGGGGAAAAAAGTACCAGAAACTTTGGCCAGACGTGTAGGCCTGGATCTTTGTTTCAACCAAGCTATAAAATAAGAAATGGAGAATTTTCTTAGAGGTGGTAGTTCTCAGATTTCACACCTGGCAATATTGATTAGAAATGTCTCAAATGTGTTAGACAAAGAGCTGTCAGTCACTAAATTTCTAGCACTACCATCACCACTCCATGCTTAGTGACTGGAAGCTCTTTTTATCTATTTGCAACCTGGGATATTAAGTCAAGAGCTATTTACAGTTCATTATCAAACACCCGACAACCTGGCTAGAAGATTTCAGTTGTTCCCCAAAAGTGGGGTTTTTTTTGGGGGGGTAATCCTCTGGGTTTTTTTAAAAAACCATATGTAAGCCCAGCTCCAAAAAGTGTACTGGGATAGTCCTCATCTCTCCCCTAATAATAGTTGGTAGAATAAGGGTTGATAAACCAAGCAATGTTTCAGGGAAAAATATCTGTTGGGCAGTTTCAAATTATTTTTGCCAGATCCCAGTTAATCCATTTAAAGTCATATGAGGAAACATTTTTTCTGTTGTGTCCTTGAAACACAAGATGGCTAAAAGCAAAGCAAAAAGCGTACTGTTTATATACCGCCCCATAGCATTTCAAGCATTCTCTGGGCGGTTTACAAGTTAATTATGCGGGCTACACATTGTCTGCATTTTACCGACCTCGGAAGAATAGAAGGCTGAGTCAACTTTGAGCTGCTACCTGGGATTGAACCCCAGGTCGTGAGCACAGTTTTGGCTGCAGTACAGCGGTTTAACCATTGCGCCAAGAGGCTAGTGAAGGTCATGAGAGTTTCAGTGCAGAGGTGGCCAAGTGAAGATCATGAGAGTTTCAGTGCAGAGGTGGCCAAATGGTAGCTCTAGTTGCCGTATCAGCAAACCATGTAGCAAGATAGTTTATTTATTCATTTATTTATTTATTTACCCATTGATAAGGATGTGTCTCTCACACACTACAACTTTTGTCATAGTAGCTATCAGCAAACCATGTAGCAAGATAGTTAAGGCGTATTACTTCTCAAGTGCTTACCCATTGATAAGGATGTGTCAAGGCGTATTACTTCTCCAAGTGCTTACCCATTGATAAGGATGTGTCTCTCACACACTACAACTTTTGTCATAGTAGAATTTACATTGATATGTTATTTACAATGAATTTCCCCAAAATCTTTTAGCAAACATCTCATTCCAACATGTCAGAGAAAACCCAAAGGAAAAAAAATAAAAGTAAAAAAAATAAAGAAAAGAAAGTAAAAAAAAAGACAAAAACCTATGGCACCTTAAAGACTGTTATATTTTAATGTGAGCTTTCATGCATTAAGTCCACTTCTTCAGACATATGTAAAATACAGAGTTCACAAATAAAGCAGCTTTGAAAGTCTGTGGTGTATGTTTGCATCTCACACATGAAGTAATTTATGACCTATATTTGGTTTTCAGTTCTTTTGAAGTCTGGTTTTGGAGACATTCTCACATTCCAGCACATTTTGTGCTAGCAAAATCATATCATGTACATACAGCAGGATGGATAGCTTATGGGACAACATAACTCTAAAGGAACCAGGCATACTACTATATGAAAGATAGGGAAGGGACCAGCAGATAGATGGGTGTCTTTGGTTTTCCTAATTGTCTATCTCTCTTATGACAGATACCACTTCGACATCAGTCCCTATGAAGATTTCTGGCCAGCCATCTTTATCCATATGGTCCATCAGTGTTGTGGAACAGGCTGGTATGAATTCAGTTTTTATAATTATTTGTATTTATTTTATAATCCTTATTGTAGGTCTGAATTGACTTTCAGGGCCTGATTAGTATAGAATCATTGAATCAGTGGGATTTATACAGTTATTGAGTTAGCTTTCTGTAATGGATTCAGTGTTTACTTTCATGGAGACTAATAGTTATAGGCTGTAGATTTGTGACTTATTTTGTGGTGTAGGATAATTTCATTTAAAATAATCATGTTTCCAGTTATGTGCTCTAGTTCTTCTAGTATTAAAATGACTGCTATTAAGTTCTTTAGGGTTAACCTCAAAGTGTGAGCAGAAGGTACAAGCTGGCCCTGCCTCCCCCATTGTTGATGTCTTCATATGGACAGCAAAAACCTAAAGAGGCACTTTCTTCATGGGACTAGAAACCCTGAATCCTTTCCAGGACTGCATTGAATTGTAGAACTGGAAGGGAACCCAAAATTTTTCAAGTCCAACCTTTGAATAAAGCAGGAAAACATGAAGACACACCACATATAGTGGAGCATCTCCTTTTTAGGCTATGGCTCTCCATCTGAACAATGCTACAGGAGAGGCCAAAGGACTAGCATGCTTTGATCTGCTCATGCTTTCAGGGTAATCCTATTCCAAACACTTGAATTGGGCCTTATACAACATTTATTCTTGCTTCTGTAATAACACCCTTTTGTATGCACCAGCAACAATTTGTATAAAGTTGTATTTCCAGTTTACATGAATGATTGCACTAAGACTATTTTTTAATGTGAAGGTAATTCGGATCCATTCATGTGTAAACTAAGATAAAAAATAGTACTAAAAATTTGTTGGAGCAAAGGTACTAAAAAACTCTTGTATAAAATAAGGGATTGTACAAAATTGTTGGAGAAATGCATAATTTAGAAAATGCAAAAAAGTCATTGTAATAGTGTGCAGTTAATAGTGGAATGCAACTATTGGTAGCTGAATTCAATTGATTTTTATACTTTTGGTCATATGATAGTATTGGAAACAGGACTTGGGACATTTATGGACATCAGTCATGCTGAATTTCCTGTGTTCCAGGAGCTTTCTCCTTCTTAATGTGCTGCTTATGTCGTAGATTATAACTCTCATCATCCCTAACTATTGGCCATGATGACTGGGGCTTTTGAGAGTTACAATCAAAAATACCCAGAGGGCACTAAGTTAGATAAATCTGAACATCCAGGTGATCCAGTAGGGCCACTGAACAGGAGTAGTAAACTATCTCTGCACTGACTACCTAGGCTTGATTAGATACCAAGAGTGAGGTGTCTGCACAGTTGTGCATACTTCATCCTTGTCTCACAACTATAGATGCGGAGAACTCACCATTTTGGTGAGTTGTCCTGCTTCGTGATGTGTCAGAAGTTGACAACTCACGAAGCACAAGGTTGCCCCCATGAAGTGACGAATAATGAAATTATTTGTGTGGGGTTATTTAAAAAAAACACCCCTGCCACCATCCCCCCTGCTGCCACTGCCCCCTGCTGCCACTGCACCCCCGCTGGATCCAGGCTACCCTTTGCAAAGATGGCAGCTGCAGCTTCCCTACCCTAAATGAAGCTGCAGTGGCCATCTTTGCAAAGGGCAGCCGATCTCCCTTTTTACATACCGTGGCTACGGAGGCCAGATGGAAACCTTGGCCGCGGCAGCAGCAATTACAGTAAGGGGGTATCAGCGGGGTTGGGAGGCTAAGGTAGGTAGAGGAAGGGGTGGGAATTGGCTGTGGGGTTGGGTGGCTGTGGCAGTGGGTGGCTGCCTGTCGGACCACTGATCAGCTGATCGGCAGCTGGTAGGCAGAATTGTGTGGGGTGTATTTTTTACATAGGATGAATATAAACTGCAAAATATTTATCGATCCGTATTGTTCTGACTTTAAAATTTGATGAATACAGATCAGGGAATATTTAACGAAGCAGCAATTTTCGTCAAAAAAGCCGATCCATTTTTATATTTTCCCCCAACTCTACTCACAATATTGCAGCCCAGCTTCACAAAGCTGTTGCCACTGGAGTAGCAAGAAACATGTGGGCTAGTGTTTTGCTTCGCTTTGTTTAGTTTTGCTTTAGATAATGCTGTCTGGAAGAAAAGCCAAGATTATTGTAGGCATGATTTATTTAGTTCATTCCTCCTAGTCTCAAATTAAAATGAACAGAACTAAAATATATGTTTTAGTTCTTGATCCACTCAGTTCACCACAAATTTTATGCCAAAAATATATTTATTATAACTATATAACAAATTATACTACTGCTATAAATAGCTAATTGAACTTTGTGCCGTCTCGACACTACTGTTTGCATTGTATTTCCCAGTGCTGTTTCACATTAGAAGAGGAAGAAAATGTTTTGCTATATTTCTCAGAGGAAGAAGGGTAGAAGACAAAAGTCAAGGGTAGCAGGTTGATTTATATGAAGACTTCTCCAGCATCTGTTTACTGGAGTCATTTTTAGGTGTTGCCACTATGCATACCATTCATTTCCCTAGCAACACAAAAAACATGTACAAGTGGACTAGTAGAATACTTACATTGAGATTTCTTGGGAAGCAAGACTGCGGCACTGAAATATCTGTGTAGAATACATTTTGCATACATGGAAACTTACTAATATGCATGAGACAATCTAAGTGCTATACTCTTTGCAGACATTAGCACTGGTCCTGCAGTTCTGGTGCATTTGTGGAACTCTGATACACACATAGAAATGAATTAGAGATGTGAAATGCTAGAATATTGGAGACATTAGAATCCCCCCCTCCCCCGATGCTTACTCAACTTGAAGTTGAGTAAGACAGAAATCTTAGGGAAAAAATGAAGTATGATAGGCACATATTTTCTCATTAGTTCTAAACTTTGGAAGAACATAGCATGCATTACATTTATCTTAGCATATAGAATTGTGCTCTTTTGAAACACCATGAGATTTAGGAATGTAATTGCTTAAATATATCCAACCCTAGCTGCACGCAATAGTGTCCTTTTGCAAAAGGAAATTCTTTCATTTCTAAAAGTGTTTGATCCATCTTCTGGTAGTGAACACCTGTGTTGAAGGAAGGAAAGGAAATCTTTTATTCCTGCATTTCTGTTCCATACTGGCCTTGACAGTGCCCCTCAAAGAGAGCAAGGAGGAATCAGAAGACGGTAGCATGTCCAAATGTACCATTTGTGGTGGTTGAGTTGCCTCTCCTGTCAGCATTATTCAGAAACAGAAGAAACAATATAAAACCTACAATAAATTTTACTGGAAATAATAGCAGGTAACACACAGTAGGATGGGATACATAACACCAACAAATTTCCCTCTTTCACATTGTTTCTAACATTTTGAGAAAAGTTTAGATTCCTAAGTGAACAAAGTATTAAGGATGATCAGAATCTGGATGTTGTTAAGTTTATAATAAAGTTTATAATGTATTATCAATACACAGAGTAAATGTGTAGTAATACATCATAATAATTAGGACAAAACAACCATAAATTACCAAATGATATGTATGTTCAGAAGAATTGTCATCTAAAGCAGAATTTTTCATGTTTATAGCAGAGATGGGGGGAATGGAGAGAGATTGGCTAATTATTAGGAAATAACTTGAAATAATTTTAAAAATCACAATTTTGGTCCACTGATCAGTGATGAACAGAATGACCTGTGTATTGCACCAAAATATGTCAACTTAGAAGTTCAAATGCTTTATTTTACACTGTGTAGAAAAGGTGAAGACCTTGAAGAACAGGGTTTAAACAATTGGAGTGGCACAACATAAAGAATATTTTACTGCCCCCATAAAAATTAAAAAGATTAAAACAGCTATTGAAATTGTGAGGAGTGGGAAAATCCCAGGTCTAGATGACTTTCCTGTTGAATGCGAGAGAATATATATGGAGATTTTGACTCCTACACAACTGTTTTCTGACAGTTGAGCAAACTGTCTCCCCTACTAAATATTGATGCTAAAATATTTGGTGCAGTATTGGCCAATAGACTCCAGAAGATTGTAGCAACACTGACCCATCCAGATCAAGCTGGTTTTGTGCAGCATTAGCAAGGAACAGATAGCTTAAAGTTGGTTGCAAATTTGATTGCATTGAATACTAGAACACCTGACCATGCTGCCATCATTTCATTAGATACTGAAAGCATATTTGACAAAATTAATTGACAGTTTATTTTTGTAGCACCAAAAGACTTTGATTTCCCACTTGGATACTTAAAATACATTTGAATATTTTAGCTGTTTCCTATGTCAAGTGATTACAGATGGGACACTTGGGGTATTTTTCCACCTAGAGAAGGGTATATGGCAGGGATGTCCTCTGTCTCTTCTAATATTCTGTTTGTGTCTGGCACCATTGGCATGTCTAATCAACACAAAATTCAACAGCTTCAGGATTTGTACATCAAAAATACGAACACAAGATAGTTTTGTTTCCTGTTGATCTTCTTTTGTTTATAACCAAACTTGAATTGTCAGAATGAACATATTACCATGCACACTTTTATGTTCTTTGTGCCATCCCATTCTGTTATTCCTTAAAATTATTTTTTTAAAAAAAATTAACACTGCATTTAAGAAATGTATATACTGAGATTCATCTGTATGTTTTTCACGGAAGGAGATGCAGTTGCTATTTTATAAGGTGGATTCAAGTTTCCAGCTTTAGGTCTATACCATAAGGCATACCTTTTTATGCATAAAAATAATTGGCAAATCCACTCTGATTCCATATTGGCCATGAAGAAACATACAGGGAAAGAAACTACTGTATAGTTTACTATACTATTTCTTCATTCTCAGCACAAGCCCATCAAACTGCATCATCACTCAGAGGTTTTCACAAATGGAGCACATTACATTTGGTATACAGATATGGACAAACTAGGACTAACAACAGTGCACATACACTCCTGCTACAGAACCTACAGTCTTCTTGCAAGCTCTCCATGGATCTTACACATGCAAATGACAACGTTTCATTGATCTGCTAAATTCAAATATCTGTCCTTATCAGGCAAGCACAGTTTCTACAGTTACCCAAAGTCTTTTCCATCTCAAACAGAATAGACTATCTCACTCATCTCTTCAAAGCTATTTGATATCCAGAGTGATGCACCAGCCAGTTACTTCAAGAAGGTCATCACCGTTTGCTGATCCCATCATGAAGAAGTTCACAAGGCCTTTGCATGCTGTACCCTTTCTAAGGTGCCCCCATTGTTCCTTTTTGCGGTTTTGCCCTAGTACTTCCCTGCCCTTAGCTATAATGAATCTCCCTCTTCTAAGCATTAAAACAGCAATCTTGCTAGCCATCATGTCTCCTCATCAAGCAACTGAACTTTGTGCTCTGCATATTGACCCACCACTCTTGACATTTAATAAAGTTGTGCTGAGACCAGACAGCACATTCCTGCCAAAAATGGTTTTGACATTTCATATGAGTCAGAACATCATCCTTTCTGCTTTCTTTACAAACTTTTCTTCACTATTGAAGGCCTTCCTTGCATTCTTTGGATGTTCAGTGAGTTCTCATAATTCTATATTAATAGAATTGTGCCCTATCAAAAGTCAGCAAAGCTTTTCATTTGCTACTTTGGGCCTAAAATTGGCAACCTGGTCTATACACAAAGTTTTGCCAAACGGGTTGTGTTTTCAGCTTTCTATTTTATCAAGTACCTGTTTCACCAATCCCAATGCATATTTGTAGTCATTCCACCCTACCTAGAGCGTCGTCTACAGCTTTCCTACCAGGAGTCCCTTTACAAGATACCTACAAGGCACCAGCCTGGTTTCATCTGTTCACATTTGTCAGTCATTATAGACTTGATGTGTGGACTAGAGCAGATGCAGCACTTGGCTATGCTTGTATCTTGGCATGATGTCCCCTCTCTTGGTAAGTGAGTATGCTGGTCACTGCTTTTGTGAACTGTAGACACCATAAAGAAGAAAATCAGATTGCTTATCTGCAACTGATTCTTTGAGCAATCATCTGTGAACTCACATAACCCACTCTTCTCCCCCACAGTCTGTCAAACTGTTTACTATAATTTTAACATGTGGTGAGTATGAAACTCCGTTGGAAGGCACTGGGGTACAACAAGGCATGTGCAGTGGGGATGGGGTGGATCGGGGCAGACAGTTCCTGCCAAAAAGATACTCAGCAGTAGAAGATGACAGAGGTAGCTGTGCTTAGACATAAGGCCCACTTGTGTGAGTTCACAGATGACTACTCAAAAGCTTCACAGTTAACAGGTGAGCAACCTGTTTTTTTCTTTCACATATTGCAGAGGATGGAGTGGATCTAAATAGGTGAGAGGACTGAGACTTACACAGTTTTGTAATGTACAGTAACTGTAAGGGTCCAATACAATAGATTCCTGAACAGTTATTCTAGAAAGGCATTTTAGAAATATAAATTTCAGCTAAAACAGTAGTTTAAATTGATGCTTGAAAAGGCATTTGTTTGCAAATCATATCTGGGAAAGAAAAATATATATGATTCCTCCCTTTGCCACTTTTCCCCAAAATTTCTAGTTTTTCCATTGGAAAATATTTTAGAAGTGGCATCAGGAGAAACCCCCACTGTTTTCCGTTTTCCCCCCAGGCCTTCATATCTCTGTGATGAGCAAGAACTGTTCCATCTCTTCCAGATTAGGAATATTGAAGTAAATGGAATGGTTCGAGTTTATGCAGATCTCCATGTGTGCTTCAGAGTCCTGTAGAGCTTTTGATTGGGAGAGATATTTCTTCTTTAAATGTTTATCTTTTATAAAAAAAATACTTAGAGCTTCACTTTTTTTATATTTCATAACATATTCTTTTATAATTTTGCAGTACTGACAATCTGAGTAGAGTTCTGTATTGACATATTCTGGAAAAATGTCAAAAATTCTCACAGACTGGCGAGGGCTTTAGTCAAAAGTAATAGGTTTGCATTATCATTGATGCTAAATTGAAGACTGTTATGCAACTTTAGGATTTTTTTTAATTTAATATATTTGAAAACCCAGATAACTGCACCTCTGAACCTCATCTCTTAAAATCATAGCATTAGAATGTTTTCTACTAAAATTAATAAAATTCTAAATAAATCACATAAACATAGACTTTTTTATATTAAAAAGGCTGTAATAGGCAATAGTGGCCTGATATGGGAGAAAACCATTCCACATGGGTAAGTTGGGGTATCCTGATTTTCCAGTAAGCCTTACCACAGCCCTCCTCACCACAGAACATTATTTTTCAAAATGCACCTGAAATCTTACAAGCAGGATTTAGGAAGAAACAGGTGCCTGTGATGGCAAGCAGGAGTCAGAATTAGGTGTCTTAACTTACCTGATAGGAAGTTACCACTGGCTACAATTCATAATTTATAAAACCATACAAGAAGTTACAAGTTACTGTTACAAGTTTGGATTTTTCAAAGGTTTTTCAAAGACAAATATTTCTTGATTGATCCTCAGTTAATTAACTTTCTATGTATTTGATCAAAAGTATATTTTTCATGAATACTAATGTAAGTTAGAGAATTCCGTAAATGTTAGTTGAAGAGTTGTAAGAATTGTAAAAATATGATTTAGTATGACTTTGTGTAAACTTTGAAAGTTAAAATCAAAGTTAAAATCTGGGATCACAAGTATACCTCCTTGGAAACAAGTTCAACTCTTCTGAATAAACGTGTGCAATGGAGGTGTTAGTTCTAGACAGAAGCAATTTTTTAAGCTCTTGTATCAGTTTATAGAATTTATAAATAAATCCAGATACATTTTTATTTTTTAAAATGTGTTAGGTAAATCTTGGCTTGAATTGTAACTATAAGAGGCAAGGTAGTTGTCTTTCCTGCCGTGTAAATCTGCCCCATTTTGCATATGCAGGAGGAACAGATCTCAAGAACCTAAGGAAAGTGACGATTGCAGTGCTATGCTGTCAGCATTGAGCCTTTATGTGGAATCTGATATTTTGGAGGAAGGGTAATTAGAGCTTATAGCTTTGACACCCCTTTTGAATAAATGGAATGTTTATATGTGTGGGCAATACAGATATGTACTTTGCTTTGGGAACTAAGCTCTTGTAATCACAGCTTGCATATAGAGCTGGGGTTATATCAGTCATAGGTTGACAAGATGTGAGGGTTACAGTGACAAAGCTCTGTGGGACTCTGATGTGGACATGCAGATCTGTTGTCCCATTCTCTCTGAGTTAGAGAATCCTTCTCTTCAAAAAATCTTGATTGAATGTGTGACATATGCAGTCAAAGAGGAGAACAGTGACCTCCATGTCTGTGTTAGTTTCCACACATGTACTGGAGCTGTTTTGCAGTTCAGATATGCGCATTGTTTTACTATTTTGCATCTTGGGGAAAACTTTAACCAGCATGTAAAGGTAAATGTCTAGTTAATTAGGAAAGCAGAACAAAAACAAAAGTGCCTATTGTTTCACTACCACAGTACCAAGCATCTGTTGAAATCTCTAACAGTTACATTTTGGGTGTGCAGAACCTTTAGCCCCTCAGATCATAGACACTATTCCCTTTTAATTACCACATTCATAAAAGTAATCATGGAAGCAGTTGCTATGATGTAGAGAGTTTTGATCTTATGCCCAGTTGTATGCCTACTGGCATGACTTGGATATGTGACTGAACCTTTCTGCATTGCAGCAGCTGCTTCCGTAATGATGCTTAGGCGCATAATAGTTTGAATATTCAGGCATTATAATGTGAGTAAACTCAATGTGTATAGGGGAAGTGCTCTAACCCTATCCCTTCTTTATTTTCCTTTCTAGTACCCACATACATGTGGAGGATGGTGAGTGTGAAGAGGGAGTAATAGTCCACCTGAATGAGGACCTTGGAAAATCAGGATCCTTACTAGAGATGGGCATGAATCAGAAAAATTGTGATTTGTTTTGTTCCATGATTCATCAAGGCAGATGAGTTACAAATTAACAATATTTTTCATATGACAAATCAATTAATCAATTTGTTTTTACTTTAAAACCCTATAAAATGCCCCCCTCCCAAATTCACAGAGAAGTTCCCCCTGACTTTCCTTTACAAGTTTTGCAGGTTTGGTGAAGTTGGGTTTTGGACATCTGGATTATACTTCCAGAAGGAGCCCCCCCCCTGAAAATTCATCCCAGGCACTTAGAGACACCAAAATCATGGAGTGGATTCTACTGACTTTCCTCTAGAGTCCTTCCAAGTTTGGTTAGGATTGTGTTTCATACATCCAAGTTATACATCCACAAAGTAAGCCCCCCCAGGAGAGTGCCTTTTAGCAGCTGGCTTGAGGAAAACCAATCTTCACCAAACTTCAAGGGATTGTAGAGGACAGTCATGGGAAGCTTCTTTGTGATTTTGGTGTCTCTAGGTGCCTGGGGGGCAGTTTTAAAGCCAAACAAAATGATGAATCAAAAATCACTTAAAATGTGTTGATTTGTATTATCGAGGGCACTGATTTATACAAATACAAATTGATGAATTAGTGGTTTTTTTGAACAAATTTGGTGATTTATATTTTAATTCAGGCCCATCTCTAATCCTGACTCATATGATGAATTTCCCTCAGTGTCAGAGTTCTCCCTCTTCAGGCTCATTGTCATTCATAAAAGTAAAATGAGGAGGAGGGTGTGGGGTTAGGTTCCTGCTTTCTATATGTAGAGAGCTTTTCCGAATCAAAGGGCTTTAACAGACATTTGGTCTAGTGAGGAGAGGGAGAAGGACTGTCAGATTATGCCAAATAAAACATGTTAGTCTTTGAGATGCAACAAGATTTGGGGAATGTGGTGCTGAGACACAGCAACTGTCTGGTGATTGTTCTGTAACATATTGGAGAAGGAACAATGTCACTGGAAGTAGGTACTAGAAGCTGTAGTATAATTGCAGCCATTTATTCTGTGGTGTATCCCTTCTCAGTTACTGAAGATAGCCTAGCTTTTATCTGTAAGAAGAGAGGCAGGACTCTGCTAAATTTTAGCTTGTCATTTAGTCAATGACACACTTTTTTAACTGTGGGTTGGACAAAGACATATGCCCTCCTCCAGTTTCTAATGTCTCATTCTTGTTTTTATTATT